ATTTAATTTAATTTAATAGCTTTGTCAACCGGCAGGGACACCACAACAGCTAGCGCCAATTACTGCGGGCCCAATTAACCCACCCATCCCAACCCATGGGAGGACATCCATCATACAGTAATCTTGTGTGTGGGAAATTAACATCTCCTACCCCAACCCTGCAGGAGACGGGACCTCCATTTATTCATCCCTATCCAAGAAGACTAGAATATCTAACCATTTCTTGATGTTATAGAAAGGCAGCAAATTCTTCTCAATTATTTTAAGACCCCAAGTGTTGGTCTGGCCGGGGCTTGAACCCTAGACCTCCTGCACAACAGTCCAGCGCTCTATCCATTGAGCTAACCGGGAGGCGGTTGAAGCATTTTTCCCATTTTTTTCAAGTTCCCTTCAATCTTGAAAGTAAACTATTCTTACCCAGTTGCCCAGCATTAAGGCCACAGGAGTAAACTTCATGTTTAGTGAAGAAAACTGAGTGATATCGCCCTGCTGCAGCCCCAACAATATCTTTGCCCCTCCACACCTTCAGGTGTACCTGTCCAGTTGAACACAATTTTTAAGCCAAAAAATGAAATAAACTTTAAAAAACAATAGGCCACAGGGCAGGCCATGGCCTAGGCCAGGTTTTGTCCACACCCCCCGAAAACTAAGACCTAAGACCTGCATTTGTGCTTGGCTAGCTACCTTCACAAGTTTACAATTTCAAGAGCAGAGGACATCGCTCGTTCGGCCCGTGTTTAGCAAGCTGCTTTAAGAAAACGAGAAATTCGAAAATAAAGGAAGAATCCAAAAGAAGGATTAAATGAACGGACAACAAGTCGAGACACTATTCTGTTTGGCAATTCATTGCCCGATGTTGCACTGGATATTGACAGCTAGAATCGTATTGGTGAGCTAATAGAAAGCCTTACAGCTTACGAAGTCCTGCTTGTAAAAAGCAAAAGAAACTTTAGCTTCAAAGAGCGTGCTAAAAATTTAACACGGTCACCATGTTGTACCATGCAAAAATGCTGGCAAGATCTTAACACGTTCCTTTGTCTCTACCATGCAAAGGAAGACAATGGCTGCGATGTTAATGAGGCAGGTAACTAACACACAGCTAACGTGTTAAAAGCTAGTTCTTTTGTTTTAGCATGCGAGCGTGCAGTGTCCGTGCGCTCACCTTATTCCCTGAAATCCCGTGGAGGGTCACATAATTATGATTGTGTAATTAAAAGAGGATTTAAAATTATGACTGAATGCAAACTTACCAGACACAATAAAAAGCTGTTTGCCAATAGCAAAATCCCTAACTGAGACATGAAATAAATAAGAGGAACAAGCTAAGATGCCAGAGGATGAACATAAATTATACCATCAAACATGTTAATAATTGTGCAGTACCACTCAGAAATGCATTAACCTAAAAATGGGATTTTTATTACTTCAGGGTTATTTACTAGAAAAAAACATCTTGAAACAAAGCGACACTTGAATTCATTCTGTTGTAAATAATTTAAAAAATTTTAACAATTATTTACCAAAGTGAAGGTGAATAGTGATGGATATCTACATGTACTGTGCCACAAACTGGCAAAGTAAATATCAACCACTTTCACCTGTCAGTAAATAACTGTTTTTTAGTATACACATTGTATGACACAGAAACCGAAAAAAAATCAGTCTGACTTGTACATTGTATTTCAATCTGTCATTATTCCGAAAAATAGTTGGAAATGAAGCTTTTGATTCACAATTTTGTCTCTTCTGCTCCTCAATTGTAAATAGTACTTGCTTTTCTCTTCTGAACTTGCCAATCAAACTGTAGTAATATTATTATGTTGATGATATTTACCCATTATTCCATGAAAACTAATACTTGATGATGCTCAAAAATTAAACTGTGTGTGAAACATTGATTAATCAATATTACTGAGAGTGTACATTCTACAAACTAAAGAATCTCCTGATTATGGACGAGGTAAAGCTGTTAATGAACCTGTGATTTGTCGGTTATGATGCCAAGAACATTCTCTCAAGCAACTGCCAGTAAACTTGGGCTTCCACTGGAACACCTGTTTTTAATTAGCAAATTAATATAAACAAGAATTATGTTAATGATTACCAGTAGTAAGGACTTATTTTAAGCAACCTTAATTTTTTAAAGCTGAGCTAAAATAGAGAATATCATAGAAAATTATGCAATTTGTCTGCTTTTTAATGGGAAAAACATTGTCAAATCAATTAATAAATATGCATTGTTAATGAAGCATGAGGTCTAGATGGCTGGATACGGGCAGAGTTCCTTGTATGTACTAAGGTCTTTGCAAATAATGATCTTGAACACCAAAAATAGTTGTGGATTGACTAACCCACCTTCCCTCTAGAGTTCAGCAATGTCACAGCAAGTTCATCAGCAAACTTTTTGCTGACTTCTTGTGGAGATATCATATCAAGCTCACCTCCAACCACAGCCATATGAACCAAGTCAGTGAACCTTAAGGTGAAAGAAATGAAGCAATTTAAAAAAAAATTTAACTATTCTTGACAACTTCTTTCATGCTAAGTGCATTACATTTTGGTAACAATGCCACGTATTTCTTACCTAGATATTATCTTGCGACAAATGTACAGGTTTAAAAGGAAGATATCTCCCTTGTCAGTTGCACATACTGTAGCTCCATCACTACAGGTCACTTTATTGATGGTGACATCTTTATCAGCCAATCCACTAACCTAAAGTAATAAAGACGCAAAAAAAACTTTTTATCTCTAGGATGAAGGAGCTGAGCAGAATGCAGTAGTAAATTAAAGAGCTTTAATCTAGAAGGAAGAAAGCTGGCCTTCTCTCTGGCCTCAAATAGTTTCAGGTTCACTGAACATTAAACCACAGTGCAATGAATTAACCTATCAGAATAAATGCAGGAATTTATAGTGGACACTGTAAAAGAAAAATTAATATTAGCTATTTTTTACAAATTGCAGTCCTCTGACTGTATTCAATACCTACAGTTCTGTAATAAGAAGTTATTATCAATTAACATACAATGTATTTAATAAACAAAGAACAACTTTTAGTTACCTGACGAGGAAGTGTTTGGTATTCTTCTCCTTTTTGATGGCCTACAAAAAGAAAGTAATGGAGATAATTTATAGTGTTACATTGGACCAGTAATATTTTCAAATGATTAATCTAAAAAACAAGCACCACTCTCTATCAGGTACAAAAATTAAAACCTGACATGCCTTAGTGAACAGCTTTTTTTGCACAGTTGATTTAATTTAATTTAATTTAATAGCTTTGTCAACCGGCAGGGACACCACAACAGCTAGCGCCAATTACTGCGGGCCCAATTAACCCACCCATCCCAACCCATGGGAGGACATCCATCATACAGTAATCTTGTGTGTGGGAAATTAACATCTCCTACCCCAACCCTGCAGGAGACGGGACCTCCATTTATTCATCCCTATCCAAGAAGACTAGAATATCTAACCATTTCTTGATGTTATAGAAAGGCAGCAAATTCTTCTCAATTATTTTAAGACCCCAAGTGTTGGTCTGGCCGGGGCTTGAACCCTAGACCTCCTGCACAACAGTCCAGCGCTCTATCCATTGAGCTAACCGGGAGGCGGTTGAAGCATTTTTCCCATTTTTTTCAAGTTCCCTTCAATCTTGAAAGTAAACTATTCTTACCCAGTTGCCCAGCATTAAGGCCACAGGAGTAAACTTCATGTTTAGTGAAGAAAACTGAGTGATATCGCCCTGCTGCAGCCCCAACAATATCTTTGCCCCTCCACACCTTCAGGTGTACCTGTCCAGTTGAACACAATTTTTAAGCCAAAAAATGAAATAAACTTTAAAAAACAATTATAAAAAGTGTGTGTGCGTGTGTGTGAATGTGCATGTGCATGTGTGAAGTTATTTCATTGTATCATTCTGTAATAACCAGTTTAACCTTTTGCACCATAACATATTCTCCACATTATTCTCCACACTATTCTTAATACATATCCTATGGTGCTGACAAGGAAAATTTGTGTAATGTTCAATATTAATCAAAAGCTTCTTTTGATTGAGTGGTGATCATTTCCTTTATTCTCGTGACCTTAATCCATGATTTGGGGGTCATATTGTAAGGAGAAATTAGATACTGGTCTCTCTTGGGGGTCAAAGGGTTCATAAAATTAATGATACAAAAGTAATGTTTGCAGGGTTACAGCTAAGAAATTACCCTGCCAGCTGAGATTTCAAGTGAGATGGCTCAAACGTGGTGAATGACTGGAAGTTTGTAACCTCAAAAGTGCCCGTTGTGCTTGTAACCAAGTGATCCCCTGCCAAAAAATCCAGCCAGTGATCGCCGCTTTTTCCTTGGGCAAATTTCACTGGCAGCTGGTGCTTAGCGACAACCCTGGTATGTTTTAATCTTCAGAGTTTACAAATAGTGAGTAAATAGTCACAAAACTATAATCACCATTTTTGGTAAAAGGCACTGTTTTGGCAGAGGTGACTGTCCATGTCCAAGCTGATGAGAATCATTTAGACCAAATGTGTAAACTGAGTGGCTGAAATAGAAAGAGAAGTTTTACTCAGTAAATTTGTCAATTAATAATACATTTTGTAATGTTTCAGGGACATACATGCAAGTAAAGTGCTGCATCCCATTCATTACTTATTGTATGGCAAATACTTTGTTAATGTTTCTCAAGTTTTAAAATGAATATTTCAGAAAATCTTTTGTCGGAAATCCTATTCTCCACTTACTCATCTGTGACTACCACTGTATGATCCTGGCCAGCAGCAATTGACACACACTTGATTCCCTGTAAAGCTTTTATCTCTTTTACCACCTACAGTGTACAAATTAACAAATAAAATATATTGAAATTAAGCAAAGCCTTGTACACTATGCTTTCTTTATTTGGAATGAAGTAACAGTACGAGGGCCACAAATTTACCAACTGTTCTTAACTGTAATGTGTCACCTTCAGTAAAGTTATTTTTTTAAAGTGACACACAGCAGTTTCTGATAAAGAGTCTGGAGGCAAGGATGCTGGCAAGTTCATGAGGTTGTATAATGAGTTAGTTGAGTATAAAGGCAAAGTTAAAGATTGCAAAAATCAACCTATTCTGTTAAAGTTTACTTTGATTGCAGTAACATCAAGGTAGTACATAGAGAAATACAGGTACAAGATTGTACTCTGCCTCAGATGGGACACACCCAACTTCAATACAAGGCTACTCTCCTCACAATTTCACCAGGTTTCCCTGGCAGTTACACAAAATCCATTTTACTCCTGGGTGGACAAAGGCACTCTGAGAATTACAAACTGTACATGTAGATGTCTTGTTCAAGAACCCAACATAAAGATCTGGCTACAGCCAAATCATAGACTTTTTGATTCTACAACTAGCACACCAACATGAACCACTAGGCTCAGCTGCCTCTGTCCCATTTTAACCCTTTGGACTCTAACATCAGTATGCATATTCTCCATTCTGTTCTCTATACATTTCCCAATGTGCTGACAAGGAGAATTTGTTACACAATCATGAGTTTCTTTAATTCATGATAATTTCCTTTTATTCTAATGTGACATGAATGGTTGATTCAGGGATGATATAGCAAGGAGAAATTAAATGCTAATCACTATTAGGGGTGCGACAAAAATTAAAAGTTTATGAGTCGTGCCACTAACCAGATGAGTCCCTTCATTACCATGCCCCAGTCTACCTCCTCTGCCGTGACCACAGGTGAAGACTCTGCCATCCATGCTCAGGAACACAGAGTGAAACTTACACATGACAACCTACAGTAAATATAGAAACAATGTTCAAATGATTAAACTAATTACACAAACCAAAAATATTTTTTGTCATTCAATAATGCACGGCACAAATATGTTTGATATGTTCATGCCACTAATGACTGCACAATGTTTGTGGCAAATTTCAAACACACTACAGACTGTCTGTACCTCTTTGAAAGAAATTTTTGTGTCTCCTTGGACATTTTCAACAATTTCAGGTGTATGTCTTGTGCTCTCATCTCTGTGACCAAGGGTGAAGTTTGTGTTGGATCCCCAGGTAAATAACTCCATTTGATAGGCTTGTAGAAAAGAAAAATCATTTAATAATCATACTGTATCCTCCAAGTCCTATCATTAGTATTATTTTTTAATAACTGTGCAATCAGGGTATAAGATTTACCTTCAGACAAAAGCTTGACATGATCCTTTGGAAAATGCCCTCGTCTTCCATTTAAATGACCAGTCCAGTAACTGCCATCATTTATGTGAATGTCCCTTATGATATCCCCAACTTGTAACTGAAGTTCATCTTCCAGAGAGGATTCATACGGTGAAAAAACTTGAGCTTGAACTGTATAGCGTTGGCAAAAACACACAGTGAGTTATTAGTGATTGAAAAGATGTTTTCAATCACCATCTCCAAAGTGAAAGAAGAATAGCAGTCCAGAGTACTTGAAGCCAGAAATAATTATGTTCCTTCTTACAAACAATCAATTTTGTTAAACTTAGAAGGGATTAGGGCACAGTGTTAACAGACAGCTTTTGAACCAAGTGGCCCATGCAACTGGATTATGTCTGGGAATAAATATTGCTATTTTCCCTGGCTAGGATGCAAGTCTACTGCAGGTTTTCCTCTCACCATTTTGTCAAGTCTCCCAGACAGTTACACATTGCCACAGTTTTTACTTGCACTTCTGAACTGAGAGAGGCATTGAAAGAGCAAAGTTTCTGGCCCAAGGACACAAGACAATGGCCTGGAAAGGACTCAAAAGGGCTAAAACCCAAACTTCTCAATTTGGAATCCAGTGCAATGTGCTGATACATACAGCTGTCCTATACTCATGAATCGAACAACAACCTCTAAACATTTGTACTTTCAATTACCTTAACTCTTATTTTTTTTCTTTTAAACTTCCGATTAAAAAAAGAATTAAAAAAGGAACAAAACCCACCTCCTTTTACAATTTGGAATGGTGCATCCAAGCGAATGAGATCCCATGGAGTGAGGCCTTCCTGGTCATACCAACCCAGATCTGAGCCAAGCTTTATAATGAACAATCAGGATGATAATTGAAAAAAAAAAAAAGTTGAGTTGTCCACCCTCCATTGGTTGTTTATCATGTTAACACTACTGGTTATGTTTGTTTTGACTTGGTTATGGTTTACTTGAAGGTAATTGTACATGTACTTTGATGTTACATTGGATCAACTTCAATTTTCAAAGTAGGCATACATCGGTTCCATATTAACATGAATCACTTCCAAGCATATATAGGCACATACACAAACTGTAAAATAAATGTAATAGCATATATCATTATCCAACTGTGCTTCGTAGAGTACAAATAATGTCCAAGACAAGTACAAACATCTTGCAGTATTATTTTGTACTCCAGAGAATCATAAATAAATATCCACGAAATTCACCTGTACTGAAATAACAATTTGGCGTGTTAGATAATAAATCTCTTATCAAATGTTTGTTGTGTAGTAGTGCTGAATATTATGACGAAATTGTAGGGCGTCAAAATATGGCACAACTCGTAAAAATACTCAGCGATACTACACAACAAATCGTTTAATAAGATAATGTATTAATAAGCTTACATGTATGTGTTCTTACTCATAATATAACTTCATTTGTCCTAAAATACCTAATCGAAAAATAAAAAAAATTAATTGAAATCTTCTCGGTATATTACAAAAATGCATTTTATTTTCAACAGATAAGAGTGTGAAGTGTGTACCTGAATCAACTTGACAGCTGAGTCAAGAAATCCATAGAACAAGCTTCTGTGCAGAGCGGTCCAGCCGGACTCCAGATCTTTCGATCCCACGTCAAGACCTTGATCTTTCACCAGCCACTCCAAAATGTCGCCTTTGCCGCAAGATGCTGCCACGTGTAAGGCATTCCGACCAAACTGATCCGACACGCGCGCAAAGTTCGAGCAGATTCGGGGCAAGATCGCTCGAATCGTTGCAGCATCTTCCTTCGTAATCGCGGATAGCACCAGATCGGCGTGCTTGGTAAGGCGACATTTTGGTGTGCATTCCATTATTGATGGCTTGTTCGTGCACCATCGTAGCTACAGAGCAAACATTACGATATATTTTGGCAAAACAGCCAAAAATACGAAGGTATTTACCTTTACAAACTAGCCGCCATTTTGAATCGACACGTAGCAAGGTACATAAGTTTCGCGGGCTCTTTGTTGAGAAAATAAAACCTCCTCTCATTGGTCATGGTCAGGTGCTTTCCTTTTCGACCAATGAGAGGTATTGTAAGTTTATTGATCGTTCTTAGAAACATCTGGTTCCTATAAACAATATGGAGGCTAATCGAAACAAACCAACAGAGTGAACTGCTCATTTTCCTACCGATCTTACTTCGGTATTCTGAGCGATTGTTCCACAAACAATTTGAGAAATTTTCGTAGTCTAAGTTTGTTCATGTCCCAGTTTTTAGAACATCGCGAAGAAACCGAGTAGTTCAAAACCGTATCAAAGTTTGTAGACGGAAGATTTCGACTGCGTGCATTCTAAATTAACAGTAATAAAATCATGGACAATAACAAGACTCAAACGTTATCACGAAACCCAACAAGGTAAGCAAATTGGTAAGTTAATGTCACGAATTCACAGCGAGCGCAGAAAGTACGAAGCAATTGAATTGATATGTCATTCTGTCCGCGCCCTTAAGGGCTGCATGCCTGACGTGGACGGTTTCAGCCTGATCGTCCGGGAGAGAGTAGCTTGTCCTAACAAGAACTGTTGTTGGAAGTCGTGACTGACATTTTGGCAACCTGAGAGGAAATCATCATCGACTCTGACGAAGTCCTGCGCTAAGGTTGTCGAAACTTCAGTCACTTCTGCCGACAACAGTCGGAATCAGGATGCAGGAATACAGGAATACAGGAATCAGAAATACAGGAATAAGAATGGATGAATCACTCCGTTGTCCAAAGCAGTCTATCCTCTGGGCTCAGTAATTGTTTTGCTTTCTCACTCGAGATGTTTACATGTACGTAGCATTTTTTTTTTATTCCATGTTTTTTTTAAGGAAACTTTTCCAGTCAACATTTCCACCAATGATAGTGGACTATATGTCAAGTGCTGATTTGTCCAAACATCTGGATAGACAAATGTCAATTCATGCTGAAAAATATAAGGAACCAAAACAAGATGAAGAGTTTGATGAGGTACATGTACTGAAGCATCAAATCTCTTTCCTTTTTTCTTTGGGACTCTTCAACAAATATAGTTGTATCATTTTTTTACAAAAAAATGAGCATGTAGCATCTGAAAATAAGAAAAATATATGTTATATTGTAAGTTCTTTTTTGTTAAGTGTGGAAAATGAAGAAGCAAGATGGTTAAAGGGCAGAGCACTGGCAAGGCGATCATTATTTTCTCCAGAAAAACCCCTTAACTTTATGGTGCCGGAAAATCTCCATCATTGTTATCAATAAAAAAACAGTTAGTTACCCCATAGCAAGTGAAAAAAATATTGTGGTGCAAAATTACGCAGGTTAAAAAAATTGTACCTAGTGAAAAATAAAATTTACCTTTAAGTTAGAAAAAAAATTACCTGCAACATATATTAAGAGAGCTGTATATGATTATACCATATTTCCACGAATAAGTGCAAGGGTGCTTATTTAAATTTTGGGCTTAAAGGAGGGATGCTATTTGAAAAGAGGGTGCTCAATCAATGGGGCACTTACATTAAGGTAGCATAACAATAGGACTAAAATGATAAGAATAGATATCAGTCAATCAATCAATCAAACTTTATTTAAAGAGGGTGACACTTAATAGTTAAAAAAACTAATGAACTTGTGGCCCTCCATAAACATTGTTACAATTTTAAAAAAAACTATTATAATTAATAACCTAATTAAGAATTTAATTAAAACTTAATTAAAAATCACAATTTACAACATAAGTTACACATAGTTATGTTTTAGCACCTCTAACTGCAAGCACTTAGAGATAGAAATAACTGGAACAGAACATTAACTATTCTGAGCTGTACTGATTCTACTATAATTGAAGCTTAAAAAGTTGTAAATAAAGTAGCAATAGAAACAGTTTTTCCTTGTTTTCCTACCATTTAGAAAGTGAGGGAGCTTGGGGGGCACTTAATCTAGAGGGACCCTTGTACTTTCACATTATAGCCTATGTGGTGGGTGCTTATCCGAGCAAAGGAAATACGGACAGTATTTGAAAACCAGGAGTATTAAATTTTGGTAGAAGTGTGCTATCAGGCAAGCAGAGGGCATGGCTCACCTGCTAATTTTGGCCTCACTCATTTGGACTTTGTTATTTAAAGGTGAAAGAAAAGAAGAAGATTAAAAGAAAAGCCAGTAAGCTCAAGAAACTGCCATCTCAACATGGAATGATTCTTCAGGGATCTGATAAAAGACTTCAACAGAGCATGACAGTAGTGCAAGATGAGGAGGAAGAAGAACTGGACGAGGAGGAACAGGAACATATCAGGAAGATGAAAGAAAAGGTAGTCTACATGAAATAAATAGCCACCTGTATAGAACTCTCTCTTGTATAAGATTAAAGAGATCAAGTTTTTTTAAGGACATATATGGTGTAAAAAGAAGTTATGAGATGGTGAAAAATTTTGATAGAGAATTATAATTACTACATATTTTAATTATTGTTCTGACTTTAATTTAAGTGTTACTGTAACAATAAAAATTATTATAAGATTTTTACCTTTTGAAAACTGGAGAGTAAAGAATGATACAGCTGTATATAACTGACTTTATGAATTGGAGGTATCAGGGGCCTACTTCTAGTAAAACTTGGAATCTAATGGACCCAAAAAGTAGATTTTTCTTTGCCATCTTTCATTGATTTCCCTATCAACAATTTGACAGATTTGAAATTCAAACAATTACAAAGATATCAGGTACCAATGATTTAAGAAACAGAATGGACTGATGTTTGAGTGGAGACTCGCATTATTATTTCATTGAATTAGATTTACTAGTAATAAAGATAATTAATTTTGTACTACATTTTAGGCGCATGATGAGTTGGTACAAGGTCTTCTGTTATTACGTGACTATTACAAAGCAGAATATAAAAAAGCCTTACAGGATAAAGTGGATCAGCAACGAAGAAGCCAGCAATTAAGGAAACTTAAATGTGAAGAAGAAATGAAAGCTGCAGAACATCAACAGGTACATGAGGGGGGCATAGGGGTCTATTAGAAACTGCCACAAAAAAAAAAACATCAGTTCTAAAACTGCAAAATTGCAAAAACTTTGATCAAAACCAAATAGCTCAGTAAAACCTTTTAAAGAAGATCAATTTTCACATCCCAGTTATCAAAAACCAGTGTAATCGACATGATACAGTGGTGACAAGTAAAACATACAGAGGTTTTGTGGATCGAGGTACATAATTGCCACTCATAATTCAAATTAAGAGAAACCTGGAACACAATTTGAAAAACTGAACACCTCATAAGACACCAATCCAAAAACAGCATTTAACTTAGCATTTTTGACAAAAACCAAAAGCCAAATGTTAAAAAAACAGAAAATCAGCAATGAACACCAAAACTGAAAAACTGAAGTTTTTGAGCACAAAAGCAGAAAAAACCGAGCTAAAAATAGCCAAAACCAGAAAACCAAAAATCCCAATATCCCCCCTCATACGTTTAGAGATTCCATATTATATTAACTTTACATTTAATTTTACTGGTATTTGCTACCCAGAGTGTTTAGAATTCTGTGGACTTTCATAAGTATGTATACAGCTATATGTATTATTCAATTACATTAAAAATTAATTATATCCACAGGAAGTAATGCAGCATAAAGTTGTTCGCAAGCTTCCAAGGTCCATTGTCATCAATGATGTCCAATTCAATAAAGGTTTGCAAACAGACTTTTACAAAGTAAGTATACCTCTAGCAACTACATGCATGTACACAGCAATGTGATGGAGTCGGCATAATTACGCGGAGAGTTACAGACTTCAGTCTATTCTTAAAAATATCATTTTCATGTTTTTGCTCTTTTGTCTAGATGATTAGTCTTGAAAACCAAATGAAAAAGGAAGGATTTCTAAACAAAAGCCATGAGATCAAAGAATTCTGGGAATTTATCACTGTGCCAGAAAATTTGGAAGATGTTCTTGAAGATGGTAAATGATTGATGTGAAAAGATCATTATGTTTTACATAGACTTAAAGATAATCTTAATATTTGATTTCTAGATATGCCCCTCCCACTCCAATGGCAGATACATAATACAGAGCTCTGTAGCAGTTGTAGAAAATTTAAATTCTTTAAAATGTGTGTATCTTTAATTCATTCATCCCCCTAAATTTGACTAGCATCTTATTTTTCCTTATAATTAATCTCATGCCTGAATCACACATTATGGATACAAGAATAAAGGAAATGATCACCAACTAAAGGATCTTGTAATTTGGTTATATCAACTAAGTTGAAATTGTAAATTGGCCTTTGTAAAGAGTTAAAAAGCTGACTCTTTGAGTGTTAGCCCTTCTTCAGAACAAATAACGAAGGGCTAATGCTCAAAACGTCAGATTTTTAACTTTTTCACTCTGACTCAGCACAGTTTACTGACACAGAACCACAGTTTCTTTAGAAACTTACCCCCTTTTACCATTTGTCTGAAAGGAACTCTTGATTGTTCCACAAATTCTCCTCATCTTGTCAGCTCCTTAGGAAATGTATAGAGAAGAGGAATTAAGCCAAATATGCGTACTGATCTTAAGGTGTAAAGCAGTAATATTATTATAATTCTGTAAGTAGGTTCGAAGTGTTTACAGCATAAAAGCCACGCTACAGTACATGTAGTGCTGTTTAAATGATCATTTTTAAATGATCATTTTTTTTAATGTACATTTTTTTTGTAGGTCAGCTTTCATGGGAAAGAATAAGAAACTTCAACAAAGAACACAACAAGAAAGCATTGCTGACTCAAGATGAAGAAATTACATCATCTCAACAGGCAAAACAGACCAGCACGAAAAAATTTAAAGGTGGTACTGCTGTCTCAACGTGGAGGAGTACCACACATGGGATTCGCACAATACTTACTGTGAGTGCCATTAATATATATTACTTTACTTGTTGTGCAACTGAAAATTTTTTTTTAACTTAACTAAATATTTAAGACCCCCCAGTTTGCTCATGACAATTAGTTAGAGCGCCGGATTGTGTTGTGTGGGAGGTCGAGGGTTCGAGTCCTGGCCAGACCAGTACTCATGATCTTAAAATAATTAACTGATGAAAATTTGCTACCTTTCTATAATATCAAGAAATGGATAGATATTCTAGTCTTCTCAGATAAGGACAAATAAACCGTAGGCCCCGTCTCCTGCAGGGTTAGGGGTAGGAGACGTTAATTTCCCACATTATGAGATTACTGTGTGATGGATGTCCTCCCCTGAGGTGGGATGGGTAGGTGTTATTATTTCACAGGGCCCCATTTAAACTAGCAATTTGCTAAACTGGGCTACCCTGTATAAATATTCGTAAATACAATACAATACAATACTATACTATAGTTGTGAATGTTGCTTTATTTTGATGTTTTGGTTAGAAAAGTGACTAAAAGCCTGAACATAAGATGTTTAACTAGACATGACTGTATAATGTGGAGTAGAACTGCAGTATAGTATAGATTAGACAATGTACTAACCATGTGCAAGTAGAAGATAAGTTGCATGGCTTAGTTATCCTTTTTTAATTTTTTTTTGTGTGTGTGTGTGTGTGTGTGTGTGTCTGTGTGTAAATCAGTTTCAGAGCTTAAACTGTAACTTACATCCAAACTTGTGCACAAAGTCGGTTAACAATTCAAAACAATGTATATTTACAAAGAGCTACTTTTTTAATTGTTGCACATGAATAAATCTCTAACTTATTTTCTAATTTTCACTTTAAGCCCTCCACTCCTTGCTCAGGTGTTGCTAGTGGAAGCAGGAAGTCAAGTGCTCATGTTTCTAATGGAAAACAGAAGGCAAAGAAGACGCCAACCCCAACAATGATACCAATTGAACAAAAATTCCCCAAGGTAAGCAGTAGTGACAGGGGTTCCATTTAAACACCTCTCACACTGTCCCCCATATCTCTCTTATAGGTATGTTAATTTTGACTTACATGTCAAGTTCTTGACTGAATGTTGAAAAGCTAACAACTTAACGAAAGGCAACAAATTTGCAGTTGAAAACATGTTTCCTGTACTGCGTGAGCATGTTCAGGAACTTCCAGCTATTTATATGCCTTTATTGGAACGTTTTTGCGAATTTTCTCAGAACGTAAAGAAACCAGCTTAGAAATTGGGTCAGGAAACACAGACGTTCATGTTATTTAAGCACCGACAGAAAAAATCCCTCATGAATTGTTGTTTAATCAATATATATGTTTCTTCGACTCCATTTTCAGGTGGAATTCCCTCCATTAGCAGCCTACAGATTGGAGTTTGGTGAACCAGACCCAGACCCTGAAGAGGTAAAGAATGCTACAGTTTGTGAATAGTCCTTTTTACAGTTGTGTGCTTGGTTGCCAAGCCTTTGAACAGGAGTGAGGCTAGAGATGACCTTGTTATGATACAAACCTTGCTGCCTTTCAAATGTAAATCACTTTGTTATCATGCTAACTAGATACAGGTCTCTATCACAACAAGGTCATCTTTAGCCTCACTCTGAATCAAAGGCTTGGCAACTAAGTACACAACTGTAAAATGGCCTATTAAACTAACTTTACTAATCACTTACCACGACAAAAATCAATGGTCCAAGTTCTTCTGGAACAACTGGAGAAAGCTCTTCTTTGTGAATGCGCCACTTTAAAATCCAATTTCTTTATTTCAGAATTTGTTATATTACGCAAAAGAACAATGCACCTGAAACTTTAGGTAACTTGCCACGGTTTTCGACAAGCTCGGATCGTTTGGTCGAGGGTGTGTGTCTTGCGAACCTCGGACTACACCTGAGTAGAGTGGAGGTGGACTAGTAGCCCTAAACAAGAATGTATTACATAGTCCTGGGGTGAATTAGCATTTAGACGCTTTGTTAGTTGTTGGATTATTGTTTAGTTCGTATATATTTGTCCTCGTATTTAACAGGTACGAAAGCAAGAAGAAGTTAATAAAAGGTTACAGGCAAGAAATAGTCTGAAAAGAACCTTAAACACGATGTTTTCACATGCCTTGGCTAACAGAGCCGCTACGCTGAGGTATTCACCAATCCCTCCAATTTTTTAACGTTCAACCGTAAAGTTGATTCGAAATCACATCCCTTCTATTACTCTTTTAACTCTCATGATCTGATTGTTAATTCTTTCCCCTAGCTGCTTCATAATGTAAATTCAGTAGTTAAGAAAATTATGGTGTTAGGTCAAACTAACAAGTTGTACCTGATAAGTTAAAGTATTCTCATTACCTGTTTGCTGGGTTATGTATGGATGATGTAGATATCGCTGTTGAAATCATTTACTAATATTTATCAGACTGATGGATAAGAATGAAGACTATAATTTTGAAAACCTTTCTGGAGCTTCAAATATGGATGAGGTAAGTTAATTACGTTTTCCTCTAACTTTTTGGAAACATTTTTTCGCCACTATCTGTGATCATCTGGCCTTGGTACTAGTCAACATTCTCCGATTTATTGAATGGTCTCTCAAATTCCTCAATAGAACGCCAGAAGCGAAGTAGTCAAACCAAAATTGGTTTGTCCAAAAGACTATTAAAGATGTTAATGATTGCTCTTGCTGCAGTATCTAACAATTTGTTAATTTATTTTTCAACCGTAGTTTCACGACTTGGCTAGTGTTCAGTTTAAACCGAGAACAAGCGCCATAAAGAAACAGTCGGCAAGGACATCCAGTGGCAAAGGTAAAGCTAACTTAATGAAATGTAGAACATTTTACTTGACTGAGATATGGTTTTGTTTTCCTTGTGTACCATCCTCACGGTCAATGAGATTAGATTCTCAAGGTTGTGTAGTTTAAAAGAAACTAAAACCATTGAAAGCGCTTTGTAATAGGCCGAATTTTTAATTTTATTAATTTTTATATAACCATTCAAGAGAGTAAAACAGCTAGGAACCAGTTGTAACTCTTTCTTCCTTTTCGTCACTCTCTTTCGATTTTCTTCTAGGGGAGAAGTGTAAAACTGATAGTACTAAGAGTGCCAGAAGGAAAGCTAAGATTCCAGAAAGTGATAATCCAGATGGAAGTGAATCCAGAGCCGGTTCTCTCTCTCCTAAAGAAGAGTAAGTTTCGCATTTCGTTTTCCTTCATGGTATCAAGGTTGATATGCTAAGTAATGAGAAATAATAAACATTTAAAAAAGAGAGATTAGATTCTTGTTGAGGAAATTCGAACGTCAGCTAGTCTCGATTTCGCGTTTAGAAGCCTCATCAATAGACCAGAATAGAGTTCGTTGGCGAGTCAGGCCTTGTACGAGGTTGTTACAGTGATCGCGGAAAACTACGATTCGTACTCCATCATCCCTAAGTTCACCCTTTTGATAGTCAGCTCCATCACCTTGTTTGGTGGGTTTTTGGGTCAGTTAATTACCGACCTCTTCACTGATGCTCCTCCAAAAATCAAGGATATTAAGGTTGAACGTGTCCTAGATGGAAATGTTAATTTTTAAAATGTCCCACTTAAAAACCATTTTATTTTATTGTTTTCATAGCTTGGTGGTGGAGCTACCACCGCTCACCCTAAATCAGCTTTCCACTCGCTGCACCGTCAGGGTAAGTGCCATTTGCAGACGATCCCATTCCCATTGCTTGAATTTACCTGGTAAACCACTAGATGGCTTAAGAATTTCAACAATGAGTTCATAGTGTCGGCGATCCCCCTGTTAGCTTGTAGAAAAAAGGTCTTATTCGTTCATCGATTCTTTTCCGTAAATAGCGCAACCTTTGCGGCGCCCCTTTTAGCTCTATGCTCGTACAGGATTAAATTCATACAATATAGAAAGCCATCTTCTGTAAACTGACTTTGACGTGGAGAACTTTAACTTGTGACGGTTTTATCGCTTGACGACACAAACCCTAACCTCATAACCTATTTGTTGTTGTATGTTTTCCCTCAGGAGGCCAAATGTCTGAGTTCGTTTTGGGTCAACCCAATGACCGAAAAAAAAGAAGTTGAACAGCGGTGAAAATCGAAATTCCACAGAGTTTGTGTCCTAACTTGTCTCGGAGAGTAGAGTATTGACAACCTCAAAATGAAAGGGCAGAAATTGTGACATTGTGGGTTTACAAATGAACAAACTCTGTCACCAACTAACTGGTGTACGTGGAACATTCAAATGCCGGAGAAGACACTGAAGGCGATTTTGCCGAGTGGCAAAGATCCAGTTGGCTCCAGTGTCACTCGTTCTATAATCTTTACGTCATACGCGGTTATTTTAACATGGGATCTGACTGTATAAATAAGTATCAAAGGAGAACAAATTAAAGATATTTTATTTCAGACTGTGTTCTGAGTGTGTACGTTTCTCTACCTCCTCAATTTTCCAGAGCGTGCTCGAGCATACCCAAAGTGTGTCATGACAAGAATTATGCGCAGTAATATTGAAAAAAAGGAAAGAAAATGAAAAGGCTTTTATTGTTAGTTTAGACTTGAGTACGAACATGTACCATTCATTGTATGGCGATTTTATCTTTTTAAGACTAGAAATATGAAACTACGATTTGTAGAGTTAGCATCAGTTTTTAAAATAAAACGATACTTTTCTAAAGAAAAAATCTTTGAAGGACCGATTCATAAAATTCTCTGTCCCTAATTAGCCTTCGTAGAGGTCTACACAAGGTTATAAAAGGCAGTTTGATCGTATTTTCGCATCACTTTTCGATTTTATGGTATAATGTGTAAAAAGGGGACACGAAAAGCGTGAAAGAGGAGGAAATCTCAGAGTTGAATGATGATCAGCTGCATTGAAAAATTAACTCAGTAATCTTTCGTGTACACCGGCACGAATTCAATTGCGTGAGTGTTATGTTAATAGTTGGCCTCCGGCCCGCCATAACTTTCGTCAGCTGTTCAAATTGAAATAATTGTCAGCATCTCCTAGAATGCTGATGACAAATTGGATTGAATCAGTTTCACAGGGAGCCTAAATATTCAATATTTTGTCAATCGCACGCAAGTCCTAGCCGAGTCGCCTCCAAGAAATTCAGTTGCGATTCAGTAAATTTGTTGTTTAATGCTATTACCTTTTTTTTTTTTTTTTGGTTTGTGTTGTTTTTGTTTTTGTTTTTTTTTCTGCTTTCTTTCCATGAAATAAACAAAAAAACATAAACAAAGCAAAACAAAGCAAAACAAAAATATTCACAATTTTTTTTTCTAGGCTGGCGAAAATAATGAAAGTCCGAAATTGGTTACGATCTTTTAAACCGAGTTTCGAACCGCATTGGCATAACTGTAGGTTTGTCTGAAGAGCAAGCATTATTAACTTCCAATTTACCGATCAGTTAAAAATGTTAATGAAACGTACGAAAGAATAAGGAAACTTACATGCAAGCATGCTAAAAACGCTAAAGACCATGAAAACCAATTAAGCTTTGAAAGAATAATTGTAGGGTTAACAAACTCGGGATTCTCTGTTGTGAGTTATATGACACACTACGAATTAAGATTTCCGAAAGTAATCAGGACCGGACATCAGAAGTGCTTTCATACGGTGAGTTACGAATCTGACATATAAATTATTTAGGATAGTTTATTCAAAATCATATGACAAGTTATTACGTTCGAGAGAGGTACAATTTACACAACTGTGAGTTTTTGGATACGTTTCCAATGCAATTTCTTCAGCCGAAATGAGTAACGCAAAAATTAATCAGCGCTCAAATCACCAGTCTGCCCAAAACGAACCTCGACAGAATTCCATTTTACTATTTTGAAAAAAAAAATTGGTCGAGAACTCAAATAGTCTTAATTCGCCTCTAGTTTCTTTTATTTTTTAGCTTTTCTTTCAATCGGGAAAAAGACTTAGCTCTGTTATTTCAGGATTTTGCAGCATTCGAAATTAATCAGACAACGGCGCAGCACCTTTTTTTTTTCAGTTTGCATCATCTCTCGGTGGTTTTATACCGGAAATATCAGACCGCATTGGGAGAATGAACGCGCGCGCGCACGCAGTAGCCTAAATTTCAGACAGATGACGATCCACGCGACGTAAACAGAGGACAGTGGCGGGAATGGCTTTGGAACGCATTTTAGTTGAAGTGTCTTTTTATCATTTCCCAGCAAATTTTCAAGCTTGGCAGGAAAATGTCGTCGCCTACAAAGCAAGTTAGTGTTCGAAGGCTGCCGCCGCTTCCAAATCAGCTAGGTCAGAGGAACATAAGAGAAGCTATCAGCTCGAATAATGAAAATCACGCCAGAAGCAGTATTAAAGCAAAATCTTCTGGAGGTAAACCCGAGCAAGATTTATTCTTTAAATCTTTTTTAGCTGTTCCCAATATTAAGCTGGGAATATTTTTCTACAGTTCCTAATTTTGCTTGTATTAGAGCTTGGAGTTTTTGTTCATTACTTGTTATTGCACGATAACCACTCTGTTTGTATAAATACATAGATGAAAGTACTCCAAAAGACACCAAAGCCGTCGCCTAAGCCTTACTTTTTATGATAATTGTATTTTAAATCGACTCTCTCCTGGCGGTGAGGTCTTAATATTCGTCTTTTCTGACGCATAATCCTCGTAAGCGCTAATAGGTTTAAAGGATATAGCGCGGCTTACTTCCGAATAATGCGTTCAGTGCTTCCTGCATACAGAATGTCGAGTCGAGCTCAATAATTTCGGATGAAATATGACCTGATGATAATGGCAGGAACTTTCTAACATTATCTTTGAAGCCCCCGACTGAATTTAAGCTTTTTAGAATACTGCTGGTCAGATGACTAGAAATTAAACCATTCTATGTAAACATTAACCGCTAAGCGCGCGTTTAGACATTTTGCTCTGTGTGAAGTTTCTCAGTTTGGATGTGAACAATTAACGATTTTTAGTTTATATTTATAATTATGGTTTTGGGTTTTTTCCGATGCTTTTACTGTTTTCTTTGGCTGCAAGCTTATTCATGTCTTTTCGTGGAAGCGTTATTTCTTTCTATTAACAGGGAAATGCGGACCAGAGTGTGAATGCAAATCAATTTTTTTCTATTCAACTCGAATATGCGACAAATTAACCAAAGGAACGGTTTCACTATTTGTAATCAATTCAATTTTCTTATATCTAAAACTAATACTCCAAAAAGAGGAGGTTGTTATTAAGGTTGTTATCTTTTTTTTAACAGCGAAGAAGAATTTTATTTGCTATGGCTGTTGTCTTGGGTCGCTAGGAGCTGTCCATCGAGAATAAGCTTAATTAAGGCATATATTCATTTAGAACCAGACTTATTCGTAGCGACAGAATCATTCATTATTTATAAAATACGTATCAGCACGAGCACTAAATCTTTTAAACCTCTCATGAAATACAATAAAACCCACCGCAGTGAGATTGCGATAAAGAAATGTTATAATGAAATACACCAGGTGACCCTAAGATTGAAATTGACATTTTAGTACGGAAAGATGTCAACGTATTATTCATGTATTTCGGAAAGCTTTTTGAAGCCCTGTGTCGAAAAACTTTATTATCATACCAAAGCGTGTTTTTTCTTTTCTTTTTTTTCATTAGTTTTGTCATTTTTAGTTTTTATTTGCGCCCTTAATAAGGAAGATAGCATAAAAATGTTTTATTACCAACCAAGTTTGAGGCTAAATGCGTGCATTTTAAATTCAGTCTTTAAATCTTTTCCCCTTTTGTTTATCTATTTGTTTAGCTACTTATCTAGTTTTCATCACCAATCAATTTTCATATCAAAAAGGGTGCTTTTGTTTAAATATTTGTCTTGCTTTTTAATATCTACGTTTTCGTTTATTTTCGTTGAGTGATTCAGTTTATTTACCGGGTTTCTGCTCGTTCGGTTGCCATCTTCAAACTATTCACATTTTTAGTTTGGATTTTTGCGTAATTTCCTTGCAGGATTAGAAATCACCTTTACCCTTTACAGCAAAAAATAAACAAAACAATAAGAAATTCCCAGTTTGAATCCTTTTGGTTTCTCTTGGCGAGAACAACAGCTAAATTCTAAATTTATTTCTATTTATTGGTTATACATATAATACAATTACAGTTCTTTCTGACACTTTTTGACCTTTTATTATTACACATAATTGCACTAATTCAGAATTTACTTTTCTGACATTAGTTCTCTCAGAGATGCGAGTTAAAGAGTACCTATTGGCCAACCCACAAGTGTTGGAGGATTTCATCATGGCAGATATAAGCCAAGAGCAGCTAGAAAGATGGCTGATCAGAAAGACACAATCTGCAGAACATATTAAAGAGGACGGTGGTGCTGGTATGGCAATTTTATTAGATGGTCATCAGCAAAACATGTGAATTTAAACCGGGTTTAACCGGATAAAATTCGAAAACGAAGCACTGAAAAAAGGAATTTCCATAAGTTTTAAAAAGTCACTAACTTGTATTTTCAATGCGATGAATTTCAAGTCTAACAAACATCGATTAAGCAGCTTCCATGAAGAAACCAATTTTAAACCGTGTTTAACAAAACAGATTTTAAGCATTGGTACGAACGGGGCACAAGTCTTCTATCATTGTTACGTTATAATTGTGCTCTTTCCAATCCCTTCTAAGGCCTTTTCTATAAAGATCTTAGGTCTTTAAACTAAATTGTTTTCGCTCTTTGTTGTGAATCAAATTTAAAGTCTTGTTCGATACTCTCCTTTAGAGTTTTGAAGAATTAAAAATTGTGTAATTTGTCTTCGATATGTTTCTTCTCCATTTTCCTAGGTGTGAGATCATCTCTCTCCAAATGGAAGGTACGGTAGGAACGTTGATTATGTATACATACGCAAATCATTGGCGGATCCGAACCTTAAGCTAAGGGGGGCCCAGTTTTGGTTGTGTGTGTACACCTGCACCTGCTGGATTCAGTTCTTCCTTCTGTGTTTATATTTTTACCAAAATAAAGGGGGGGGGCTCAATAACAACAACAACAACTTTATTTTTTCACCCCAAAATATACAAGAGAGAAAAATTTATAATAATAGTACAGACAATGATAGGGGGGCTGGCTGCCCGAAATAACCTTAGAGTTAAAAATGCCAGGCCTCTCCTAGATCCGCCACTGCTAATAAATTGAATCGTCATCTGTTCATTTGATTGTACGAAAACTCTAATTAATGATACATTTATGGTTTTTTTTGTGTGTGTGTGGGGATAGTTTTGCGTTCATACCGACAAGCGAAAAATGCTCCAGCAACTGACGAAAGACATCAATCAACAGCCGAAAAAAGTCAGAGTTATGCACGAGCTCGTCAAAAGCGTAGCTGCAGGTGCGTAAGAATTTTTAGTGTTTGTCTTGCGATGATCTGAAACTATTTTCCTTTAATTTCGCTTTTCCTTTGCATTATTGGAGAGGAAAACTATATCTAGGTAATCATAAGTTTTAATATTGATACTTCTCGGTCAACGATAGGCAATTTTACTCATAATTAGGCACAGTTTCTAATGTTGCTGGAACTTAAGAAGTCTCGCACAACTTCTGCGAGAATCCGCAGAGAAAACAGGAACAAATTCATCATAAAATAGAGAAAACAAGGAATTGATAAAAGTCTTTATAATTACATCTGGGTGCAGGAATGATTTAAGGATAATAATATCAAATGAACCCTATGTCCATCAATAAATGTCAGTTTTATGTTTCCTAGCCACCCATGCAAATGTACATTCACTATACCTGGTGGACAAGAATGGAAGGGTAAACTTTCATCGATCTTACATTCAAAAATCTTACCTAGTCATGTTCATCAACTGTATAATCTTGATTAGAAATTCATTGCGAACACTGATTGGTTCGGAGCCGGTGAGCGGCGCAAAAGGCAAGAATTTAATTTTCTGCTGTTGTCTACCTTCAATCGTTTACTCGATAAGTTTAGAACTGAAGACATTTTAGAGTTTTTTTCTCTAATTTGCTGAAAGATACTGGCTATATCCTCGTTCACGTTTGCAGTAAATCTGTAGATATTACTTTTATTACAAATTACTTTGAACTGAAGCAAATAAAACTTATCGTGTTTCTTTTCTGTATTAATGAGATGAACACCATGTCTTATGTTCTTTCAATCTCGCAGGACATTTATCTGTATTCAGAGAACAAGCCGAGGTAAAGCAAAGACATTGTTGGCTCAAGTGTGTTTGTGCGATTCAAATTTATGTGCGACCAGCCTTGTACTCTCTTCAACTGTAAATCTGATTTTTGTTTGATTCTTTTCTTTTTTTTTTTTTTTTCGTCTTGCCGGTCTCTTTGTCGTCAGACAATCGGATGTGGTGGCACAATTGCAGCTTATGTCGCTGAGACAGGACAAAGGCTTTACGTTAAAGATATTCTCGGGGTAAACCTTTCATCGAAGTTTGTTGACTTAACGTCATGAAGTCGTGGCTCTCTTATGCACCATATCTTTCAAGCGCGCTGTACAAGAACTCTGTTCTAATCTTTTCTACACTCCCCTTAAATTGTGGCTTTTCGCTAGCTAACGACTTGTCCATTTCACAACTTGGCTAAGACTTACTAAATCGAGAAAGTGTTACCTAACCCAGCCAGCTCCACGTGAGGTAATGACGTATTTAGCCTCAATGTCAATAATATTTTTTCTTATTGTTGGAGGTGTTTTTGTTATTTCTCTTCACTCAGACGTTTGTGGTCTGAATCCGTTCTGGAAAAAGCAACAAACCAAAGCAAAAAGCGATAACGATTCGTTAAATCTAGAAATAAGTTCATTATACACGGTGAACCAGCACACTGAACACCTTGTGATTTAAGATTGGCTAATTTGAGTACAATCAGACATTAGTTCTTAATAAAAGTTATTATCGATTATTTTGTCATAGGACGAGAGATTTCCCAAAGGAATTGGCATTGAAGGTAAGCTTGCACACATTTTCTTTTAGATTGATTTCCATATTGAGTGTCGAAAGAAATTCGCGATTGGTTTAGAAAACTCGAGCTACTCTCTCAGCCAATCAGATGCAAAACTAAAAAAAAAAGCGTCTTAATTATGTTCGTTTTGACGCTCAATCCAGATGCTCTACATAACTAAAGTGAGACGCTGCTAAACGCCCGACGCAGCAGAATACTTAGACGAAAAATTAGGATTCCTCGATCAAGCGTAACCTTTTGTTGTAGCAAAAATTTCTCTCCTCTAATTAATACAATCTAAACTCCTTTCGACGACGGCAGGAGTATGATAAAACTAAAGTAAACGTAATTAATAGGAGCGAAGAGAATCGTAGACAGATTTTTTTTGAATAGCTGTTTCTGAAAGTTTTTGGTTCACGGAAGAAATAGAAAACGTCGCTGCTTTGCCGTTCTCGCAATCTGCCTTTGCGTCGGGAAAATCTTCAAGAAATTATTTCGTATAAGCTGCAATACGTCGGGTGCCATTTATGAGTGTACTTTTGTACAAATGATTGAGTTCTCTGCGCGTAATCATTCCCGCTATGCAGAAATGACAGTAATAACTGACAGTCACTTGGAAATGTGCCTCTTTGTGTTTCAGACAGCACAGCCCAGTCTGTATTGTGTCAGCCTATCGTGCAAGCCGATGGAACTATAGTTGGTATGAAAAAAAATTTTTTTTTTTTTTATCTAATAATTCCAAAACTTTGTACCATTTGATGCAAAACACAAATAAAATCTTCAAGCTCCGGCTGTTCAAATGGTGGATAACACTGTATCCACTGGAAAAGTCTTTAATGATGGACAACGCCGTACGATTTTTTAACAATTGTCCACCGGATACCTTTGTCCGCCTTTAAAACGAACTTGCCCAAGAGTTAAAAAATAGGCACCAAATCTGTCTCTTAAAAATATCAATAATTTTGAAGTTAGTACATGTAAGGGATACGAGTTAGGGGAATATTTTATCAAAAAAATATCTGGAACTCAGTATGGTACTTATAGATGAGGTGGTAATTTAAAGATGGATTTTTGTGCAAAAGTAGTCATCAAATACTTAAGGTTTACAAATCCTATCATTAAAAGTCAGCTTGCTCCATGGGAAGGAAAGAAATTGAGAGTTCATTTTGGTGGAATCACTCTTAAGCATGACATATTTTTGTGACAGACAGCGCGGTATTCTGGTTTTTATTCCAGGTATTGTGGAATTGGTTAAAAAACTCGGCAACCCATCATTTGAACGGGAGGACGAGGAGGTAAGCGATATAACTGACATATCTTGTGGCATTTTGCCAATCGAGTGAAGAAAATGGAAAGAACTGAAAATCACGGATAAACCAGTTTCCCACCGCACATTATTACGGTTAGGGAAATGTTCTCTTGCTATCTCCTCAGGGGTAAGTTACATTTAGACTCGCTCTAGTTTTCTTGCACATAAACTTCACCGCACTAGCGAGAGAAATTAGGTGGATACAAACTACCTGCACGGGAGGAAATATTCTTCACATCACGCTTATTATAAGCGCATCAATGACAAAAAAATCATGGAGAGCGAGAACCTGTTACAGCTCCAATCTGAACCATCTTGTTTATTTGTTTATTTTTGTTTGCTTGCCCTTTTAGATCGTCAACAGTTATCTTGCTTGGGGTAGTATAGCCATTCATCATGCCGAGGTAAGTAATAGTAACAGCTTTCTGCGTCTGGGGCGAAGGACGAGGTCGAGAAGAGAAACACGGGGAACTGGGTTGAGTAACAGGGCACGGCCCGCCCTTCTTCCCTCCAAAGATTCTCCTGGGTTACCGTTTTCTAGCTAAATTATGAATAATTTTCGTCAATAACATAGACCAGCCATGCAAAACTGAGTCATATTAAGATTTTGAGCGGCTTCTCTGTTGATGTTATTGTTTTCAGAGCTCTTTGGTTTTGTGAAATATGTAAAATGCAAAAAGCTTAACGTATTAGTCGTAAAGCTTACAGACGCTGCTTCTAAAAATCTACCAATAATTTTTCGTTTGTTATCCCCTCTAGATTTCTAAACAAATGCAAAGGCAAAAAGATCTAAACAGTTTCCTGCTGAATGTTGTAAGGTAAGAGTCTAAAAGTAAGTATTTATGATACAAAATGTCTGCCGATATTCACGAAATGATACTGAAAAACTTCACAAGAATTTTATCACTGAAGATCACTTTATGAGAATCTAGGCCCGTCGTGTGATCATGCGATCTCATTTGTAGGTCGACGAGATACCACGAGCCCTCAACTAGCACAAGTTCATGAAATTCAATTCAAGAAGAACGAGATTTTGGGTTTTGTGTATTAATCACTCATGGTAACTTTCCTGGAACGTTTACGAAAATATTTTACCTTAAAGAGATCGGCAAAAGAAGATCTAAAGTCGCCCCTTTAATTAAAAGCAAATATCCTTTCACAAGGTATTTACTAATGTGTGACGTTTGACTATTTTATCTTTCAGATCTATTTTTGACGAAGTCAATACTATGGATGTGGTAATCGAAAAAATTATGGTTAGTGTATACTAGAGAGATCTTCCGAAAGCCACTTGCTTTCCGCCCCTATAAGGACCGAGAAAGAAAGAGCGCATTCCATTTCCTTTTGTCTTATGTCTTTTGTAACTGCTGTTTCTATCACATGCAGGCTTTTGCCAAGAGTTTGGTAAATGCTGATCGCTGTGCACTCTTCATGGTGGACTCCAAATCAAATGAGTTGTACGCCAATCTGTTTGACGATGGAGACGAGGATGGCTCTGGATACAAATTTAGAAACGGAGCAGAAATAAGGTATAAAAACAAACTGAGGAAAATTAATGAGACAAAAAGAGACGGAAAAAGAATCCTGAAAGCTTTTTTTTTTTAATGTAACTTCTTTTATTCTAGTGCACTTTTGAGAATCTTTTCATAAGTTCGCTATCATGCATGTACCCGTCAAAATATTATTTACTCCATTCATTTGTAATCACTGAGATTCCCTGACAGAGAACAAATTTTTTTTTAATTTGTTCGCTGCTAATTGTAGACTTAGTTGGTAGTAGCGCCATCAATATCTACGAATCCAATGTTTGAATAAAACGGGTAAATTTCTAAAGAAAATGTGATGCTCTGTTGGTGTGGAAGTATAACAAGATAATTTGGTTTTATCAACTGAGTTGATAATGGGAATTACATTTGCCACCGTAAATAGTGTCTAACACTTCATAAGAGCTAAATAACCTGGGTTTGACTTGGTTTGAATAGCGAAGCGCAAAAAAAGAGAGAGGTTTGGGTCGAGTCACGACTAGACCTAAACCTCCCTTGACTTTTCACTCCTTAGCTTTTATGGCTCCGTTTACTATCGTGCTTCGTCTTTTACCTGGACTATTATACGGTTTGAATCCTGTTGAAGCTCGAGTTCAGGCTTAATTGCAGTTCAGCTGTGAGTATAATCTCTTCGCTAATCTTTTATGCTTGTTTTCAAATTCAATTTTCTAGATTTCCTATCAATAAAGGCATCGCCGGCTTCGTTGCTAGTACATCAGAAACCCTGAACATCAGCGACCCGTACCGTGATACGAGATTCAATCGAGAAGTGGACATGAAGACGGGCTACATAACAAAGTCCATTCTGTGTGTGCCTGTTAGTTGCAAAGGAAGGCAAGAAAGTCTTAACTTGGTCGTTTTTGGGAGTAAATACAAATCTAAAAGCCTCAAACTAGAGAAGAGTTGGAACAAGACTTAATTACTACCATAAGCAGAAAAGGAGATCCAAAAGAAATCCCATCCCCTGATTTTCTAATCCCATGTATCCCGAAGAGAGGCGAATGTAGCGTAAGTTGGTGCAATAACTTCCTGCAAAAGTTTAGTATCTTATTCAATTGTTTTCTTCTTTCCATAGTGTCATTGGTGTCGTCCAGATGGTAAATAATAGAAAAGGATTTTTCTCAAATGAAGGTAAATTAAATTGTGTGCTTACCTATTAGGGAAAACAGCTTGGCTCTAAAAAACTAAAACTTACACAGTACGAAGGATATCGCAGACAAGCAAATAAAGTCTAATTGTTGTGATTATATGACACATACAGCACTGCGCGCTTTTATTAAAGAGCATATAAAGATTCCCTCGTAAGGGCTGTGCGTTAATGCACACGACTCTACCTACGGACCTGCAACATGAACAAGGGAAGAATGCCTATTTACTGAGAAAGAGCAGGCAGGCCACGCTAGAATTTATTTGGCTCTCGCCCATGCTTACAGACCGTGTTGCGCTTCGTCCGTTTATCATGACCTCAAGGCAAACAATTTTACAGCCGGTCCTCCCTCACAGTTACATGTACAAAATTATTGTCTCCTCCCTCTTTCACGCATATAGAGTCCATCTTTATCTGTGATTTGTATTTAGATGCGCACGCATTTGAATTGTTTGCTGGTTATTGTGGGTTGGCTCTGCATTACAGTCAGGTGAGTCGTATTGACTTTCATTTTTTCATTGAATCCCATCTCTGAAGTGACTGGATCCGATCTAAGAGCTTACCCTGCGGGGAGAACTGTTTTTGGCCTAGCTTACCTTGCCTTGACCTCAGTAAAACTACTTAGTTTCATTGTAATTGACTGAGTAAGTGTCCCACTTAGCAAAACAACACAATGATCCTGGCAGCAGAGGCAGGGCTCGTTCTTAGAACTGTCGATCTGGATTCCAACTCTACTCCACCGGCGGTAACTACCCCCTTTAGCCCCCTTTGCCCCTCCCAAGAGTTTTCAAGTTTCCCCATCAGTTCTCCTGAAAGTTCAGACTGGAGAGGGGCGCCAATTAGAGCCATTGGGTGCACGTCTACTGCAAACTTCCCCACATCAACAAAAACATTTTACTTGTTGATACCAGATGTATAGTGAGCTGTTCAAAGGGCAACAGAAGCACCAAGTGGCATTGGAAGTTCTTACATATCACTGCTGTGTACCAGCGAGAGAAACTGAACTATGGCTGGCCTCCGCGACCTCCTACAATTTGCCAAATGATTTTTATAGGTACTTCGACAAATAATTTCTTGTCTTTAGTTGATAAATGCTAACAGCTATGGTTAGTTTTGAAATCGTGGTTCTTATTGATAATTTCCATGCATGACTCAATGATACCTTTTTTAAAAAAAGAGGCATAGTGTGAAATAACCTAAACACTTTTCGCATATCTTACTCTTCTCTCTTGACTGTTTTTTTTTTTTTGTGATTTCGTAGATATTTTTGAGTACATATTTAGCATTTCCTCTAGATTTAAGACATTCTCTTACCAGAGTTTTTCATTACATCTCTCTAACAACTGAATCCCTCTCGCAACCTCCTCAGCAAACAGAAATAAAAATGCCCTTCACGCCACTCGGGATAAAGACCCAAAGACTGATGTGTAAGAAACTGCGGTGTAGATAACGCACGCAAAGAGGAGTCTCTTTCTTTCGCAGCTGAAACAGACATTTACCTTTCTTCTTCCTCTTTCAGCTATGAATTCAACTTATATCAAAGGGATGACGAATTAACAAACTATTTTATTCTTATGACCAACGACTTCTTCCAGGAGTGTAAAGTCAGGTAACAAACTAACGAAGTACGGGTGTACTCTGTAGGCTCAGTAAAGATTACGAGTGAGATCTTAGGGTGTATTATAGGAGCAGAAAGCTGTATTGTTACGTAAAGTGTAACCAGGTCTAACCAATATAATAAAGGGGATAAGTTTCTAAAGAAACTGAGGTGCTGGGTCAATAGGGGGAATAGAAAGATAATTTGGTTTTATCAAATGAGTCGTTAATGTAAAAATTATGTAACGTGTACTTCCCGTATCGTGTTCCTCGAATTTTTTTTTGGACAAAGTTCTCGTCTTAGGACTTTTACCTCGAGACTTCCCGAAAACTCCAGAACCAGTAGTTACCTAAAAGCAACAGGAAAATGATTACCTAAAGAACACTGCCGGTATCAAAGCTATCATGATCAGTCTTATCCTTTCCTGGCCTTCGTGATCAAAGCCCTCCGTGTGCATGTATACAAATGTCTAAATGGACTCATAAATCACGAATTGACTTTAGTAACACATCAACATCTATATAATTATAACACTAGAAATAAAGTCAATCTTAGACTCCCTGTGTTAAAAGGAATTGGGGAAAACAAAGATTTGCTTATCACGCTGTAAATGATTTTAATTCTCTCAGCGAGATAATACGAGACTCTGCCAATGTAAATATTTTTAAACGACAGGTTTGTAATTTTTAATTTAAGTGTTTATAAATTTTATACTCACAGTCTTCCCAGATATAATTTATTAGTTCTTAATCTTAATTTTCGAGGTCCTTTTCGAAAACCACATGCATGTACGTGAAAAAGTTTCCTCAATAAAGATTATTATTATTATTATTATTATTATTATTATTATATTTAAAACTGACTCAGGCTAGCAATTTGCTTTCTAGATTTGTATATAATGATTCCAGCTATCTTTCTAGACTTGATATGGAGACACTCATTCGTTTTACCTTGACTGTGAGAAAAGGTTACCGTACTGTGGCATACCACAACTGGGGGCATGCATTTGCTGTAGCTCACAGCATGTGCGTTATCATGAAAATGGCCTCCGAGGTGTTTACTTGGGAAGAGGTATTTTGTTTTATAATTATAAGTTTTGTGGAGGTTACAAGTTAGTCTTTTTTGTAAGTTCTTATTAAAATTTTTTTATTTTCCTTCGTTCATGAGACATCTGATCTGTCTGCTGACCCGAATGTGGGTTAACGATGACAATAAATATATCTTATTAACAAAGCGCGAGGGCCTTACTGGGAGAATATCGGCCTGAGGTCTTTAGAGTTCGGACCTCGCTGCACTCGGTCCTTACAAAAAAGACCGAGGGCCGATATTCTTCCAATACGGTCCCGAGCAAGCTTGGTTAATAAGAGATTTATTATACGACTGAAGTTCAAAGGGACACAGGTGCGGTATCGTTCGGGACCATTCGGGACAGTGCCCGGTCCAATACTTAGAGAATACTGGACCGGCAATAGAGTATTTTGATTGGTTGATTTTTTAGTTATTGGCCCTCTGACTGCCCGAGTCGTGTAATAAAACGTAATAAAATGAATGGAAAGTGATAACTGTTACATCTCATTTCATCCCAGAAAATCGCTTTGTATCTTGCGAGTATTTTACACGACATCGATCATCGTGGATACAACAACGCCTTTATGATCAAAAACAAATCCCCGCTGAGTCATCTCTACTCAACCTCAACCTTGGAAAGGCATCATTTTAAACAAGGAGTCTTCATCTTAGAGGTGAGCGAAATTTCAGTTCCCTTTGATGAATATTGCCAGGGCAAAGAGCTGTTATCCATTCGAACAAACAACTGATGCTGGTATTGGTTTTAGGTGGTTGCAAGACAAAATATTGGGGAAAAAAGTGGGTATTATTTCTAACTCTAAACATATTTCATTCGGAGATTCGTTTGCCTAGTGATTGGCGCACTCTGTTTGGAAGGTCAGGGTTTGAACCTTTGTCAGAGTTTGCGTCAGAGTTCGTGGGTTCTTCAACAAGAAACTTTAAACTCATTTTATCTCCCCACAACCAGGAGAAGCTGTCGAGTAAACCAAAACAAATTCCCAGACTAGTATCGAGTTAAGTAAGGGGGATCGGGATATAACTGGTGCTTCGTGCTACTGGAATCGAGCTTTGATGCCACTGCGATTGAATTGCAACCGCATACACACCTAACCTCTTTGGATAATCGCATACTAATTCAGTGCAAGTTTCCAAACAGAAATTTGTTACCCAGTCAACTTGATAATGTATTGCACCATCATATAGATAATGCTGAGCTTAAGCTTATCTTTTGTCCAGCCAAAATCTAAGTCATCTGAGCTGTTTATATCCATGGTATGGTAATTTTATTGCGTAGTGTCACTTTTAAATCTCACAAATCTTAATTCTATCGACAGACAGACGGTCATAATGTTTTAAACGCACTCTCCACGAAGCAGTACAAGTATACGTTGGAACTTATGGAAGACGCGATCTTGGCAACGGACTTAATGCTGTTTTTCGATAACAGAGCAAAACTCGACGACATTATCAAGAATGGGAAATTCTCTTGGAGTATACCAGATCACAAGTATTGTTGCTAATTATGGAAAATTATATCTTATTTATTTGTACGTGGTGTTTTTTTTTGAAAAGCATTGTGCTCTTATCTTCATGTACGCTTACACTGACTGTCATTTCAGGCGGCTTGTTCGAAGGCTGTTGATGACCGCGTGTGACTTGTGTACCTCTGCCAAACCATGGTACATTCACATCACGTCAGTCAAGAAAGTGTTTGAAGAATTCTATCTGCAAGTGAGTTTCTTTGCAAACCAGTTCTGTTTGTAATCAGAGCCCACGATTGCTTGCCTGAGGTTATAAAATAGGTAGAATTGCTGGCTAGATCTGGAAGTTAAAGTATTAAATGCATTTTCTCGACAGGGAGATGAAGAAAAGCTCATGGGTCTGACTCCTGTGCCAATGATGGATCGAGCAAGGATGAGCGAACTTCCTGAAAATCAGGTAGGTTTTTGTGAACCATAAAAGCTGTATTCATTTAGTGTATTAGGACAAGTAACATCCTTTTTCTGGTTCAGGCATTGTGGTAGACTTTTTTCAAATCCATCGAACAGAACAAATGAATAAAAATTTGAATTATCACTTCTAAAATTGTAATAATTGGCGTCACGTTGAAACCATTTCTATGGTTACCTCATTTAGGGTGAAAACAGTGGCTTGGCTTGGCTTGGTGAGGGTGTTAAATGATTCTCCTTGGTCAATACGATGGTAAAAGAGTGGTAAATTAATTTGAAGTTAATGACAAGCACCTGGGGAGAAGCATGTTCCTCCCGCACTCTTTTAAATGAGTCCAAGCGGGGGGGCTTTGGGATTTTCGGTTTTGCGGTTTTGACCGCTTTTTGGATCGGTTTTTCGGTGTTTGGGCCAAAAAGGTTCGGTTTTTCGGTTTTGATGTTCAGAGCGGTTTGCGAATTTTACGTGTTTTTGCATTCGGTTTTCAGTTTTCACAAAAACTCTGTTGCAGTTTTCGGTTTTTCCTTTTTGACCCCTTTAAAGGTGAGGATGCAGCGATTTTATCAGGTTTGCATGCGGTTTTCGGTTTTGCTGCCTTTTTTCGTGGGTTTTTCGGTTTTGGAGGTTTTTTCTCCGGTTTTGCGGTTTCCCAGAGGCCCCAATGCCCCCTCGTCCAACCAAGAGCATCCTGAGAAAATCTGGGATTGAATTGCCACTTTTATTTACATTCGGTGGACTAAGGAGGCTAAAATATAGTTCACCTCAAACTTCTTCTTCATCATTTATTTCTTTAATTGGACAGGTCTCATTTCTCAAAGGCATCGTCAAACCCTGTTATTCAACGCTTATTAGTGTCCTTCCAATGATGGAATCGATAATGGCCACTATTGAGTAAGTCGGAAAATTTGGCACCGGTGTATTGCCCACACCTGCCTGAGACATTTGCAAATAGATTGTGCGTTTTTCTATTTATTTGTTCGTCTATTCGTCGGTGCAACTGCTCATGTGCTCATCCGATCGTCTGTTATAAAGTTCGTCTGTTTGTCTGACCATCTGTTAGTCTGTTCTTCTGTTCGTGTCTTTGTCGGTTCGTTTGATCATCTCTTCGTGTGTTCGTGTGTTCGTGTGTTCGTGTGTTCGTGTGTTCCTCTTTTTCTCTGTTCCTCTTTTCCTCTGCTCCTCTGCTCCTCTGCTCCTCTGCTCCTCTGCTCCTCTGCTCCTCTGTTCCTCTGTTCCTCTGTTCCTCTGTTCCTCTCTTCCCCGTTTCTCTGTTCCTCTGTTCCTCTGTTCCTCTGTTCGCCTGTTCGTTGTTTTTCGTTTGACAATCATTTATAATTAAGCGTGACTTTTGTACTTTATATGAGATATTGTTCTCTTTTCCAGTTTAAATTTGACCTCATGGGAAAATCGTATAATACAAAAACAGATGCAGCCGCTTAGTCCCGGAGGACTTCAAGTGCCTGATGGAACAGACTTGAGGGAGTCTGCGTCTTTTTTTGATTATTAATTATTAATTTATTTCTGGCACTTTTCATATCATAATTATTTGTTGATAAAATACCAACAAAATATCAGAGAGAAGATTTGAGGCTTTTCATGGTTCTTGTTTTGTTTTCGTCTTATCATTTGATTTTTTTTTAACTCATGTTCAATTACCGATGTACTTTGTAAATGTTGGAGTTATTTAGCAATCTTACAACTGTTATATATTTGATAATATTAGCTTTTCATGACACCTTCTGTTGTTTTTCTATATTTGTTCTTAACAAGTTATCCTAAGTTCATTCAGTTGCACTTCAAATAACTTAACTTTCCTATTTTGATTTCCTTCCTGAAAACGACTCCAAGGTTTCAATTTCGCTATCTGCTAGTTTATTTGACGAATCCTAAAAACCATGGTAAAATTGCAAAGAAGGCGTTACAATAATCTGAATCATTTTTCAGACGAAAGACAATATTCGACAGGTCTGAACAGAAATTACGCAAAATTTTATATTCATATTACATTAAGCTCGACGAATTCAATTTATCTTGATGAAAAATGAAAAATGGATTAAGCAAGCATCTTTAGTACAACTGACATGATCCACGAAGGAAATGTCCTTTTTTTATAAACCGTTGTAAATAAACTTAGTTTTGTTGTGCCAAACGGGGAAAATAAAACCAAATTTTGAAACAAAGCAGTTGCATTGAAGAAAGTTTTATTGATCGCAGAGTTTTTAACCACCCAACAACTCGCACATATATTTTTCAGCTCGTAGTTGGGAATTTCCTCCAAAATTTGCTTCCCTTTTGTTGCGGGGAGGGTGAACTGAAAAAATGACGATTAATTTAGTTAAAAAGGGGGCCATGGTTACTGATCTCATGTCGAATTAACCTTCTACAGGATTGGATCAAGAAACTCAGGTATCCCTCTACACGATTAATTGTTAACCTTAAAAAAAAACAAATAAACAAAAGAACAGACAACACATGGGGACATTGGGATGATTTATCTGTGTTTATTGAAGTAGAGTATAGTATTTAACAAGTGCCTTTCAAAAAATTCTCTATTGCGTATGCTGTATTTTGATGTACCTGTTTAACAAAAAGTTCAGTCAAGCAGCTGACAATCTACAGATCCTGAAAATGCATTTTGTTTTTTCGTATATTCCTAGACCGGAATATACGAAAATTCCGTGCTTATCATGCTTATACGTGCTTCAAAGGATCGACTCTAAATCTATGTAATTGCTAGCCTATCCATTTAAAGCTGATAAGCTTCATCAAGGTACTCATTATATCAAAACATAAAAAGAAAAACATAGGAAGAAAGACGTGCAATTCGTAAAGAATAAAAAAACCAAACACATAACCTGTGACAAAATTAAAAGTGCTGTATGAAAGTACGCTTAATTAAGTCTCTTCCCTCCCGGCCCCTTATTTTTAGGCCTCTTTTTAGGCCTCTTTTCAGGCCCCTTTGCTGGGTTCACCACAACATTCTCAAGACCATTGTTTTTAATAATATGAGAGATTACCAGGGTTCCTCTCACAATGTCGAGTGTATACTCGCCCACAGCTATGCGGGCTCTAACCTCGTTCTTCTGTTCCATGAGGGACGTAACACGCTTGATCAGTTCTAAAAAGGGAAAATTTACTTTTAGTTGAGCCCTAACTACATATACAGTGGTTACCTTTGGGTTTTTTTCCCACTTAGCACCACAACAATTTTGAAACAGAAACTGTTCTGCAAAAAGTTTTTTTTACAACGTACGGGAGCACACTCCGCATGCCACATGCGATCGATTATTTCAATCAGGATTATGCTTTTGTTCTAGCTGTTTTTTCTTTTTTTTCCTTAAAAATACTCACGTTTTTACAAGTATTAATGCAATCATAAGCATCCTCCACGTTACGGTTGACAATATATCCTAATTTGGTCATGTAGAAAATCGCAAAGCAAACATTGGGGCGCTTTAAGATTGAGTGCCATTAAACAAAACCAAAGTAATACAGCGTCCAATCAAAATGAAAGAAAATAACTTTAAGAGTCAATGAGAACTCGTGTAAATCTGACTGAAACAACCAAGTCCTTAATGGTTTTATTAATGCAGCCGTGATTGGTTTGGAGAGTAGTGCGAGTCAAGTTCTGGACCAATCACACAGCGAATTAAAAACAAACAGATCCCGGATCACTTTCGACTCTCAATTGAAAATCGCTTAAATAAACCAACAAGGACTAAGGGTGGAGAAGACTCAGATTGCAAATGACAAACGTGGAAGAATTCTTCTGCTGAGACCTAAGATTTATCTCTTTTAAGTTGAAGCATTGCAAACAAAAATGAGTCAAATGAAAGATTTTTCATCTGGCTCTTTTGATTAACTAATAATAATAATAACCAGTTACCTTCTTCATATCCTTTCGTAAGGCCGTGTATTATTCCCCAGTTGTAGTGAAGGATGATACCCTAAAAGAAACAAAGGTTTAAATTTTTTAGCATGCATTGATATGGATAGTTTTTAATGCAGAGACGGTGCTCGGTTTGGCAGCTGTTCAGGACCAGTCATCATTATTTGTCGGGTAAGGTAAGGTGGGACTGGGAGGGTTTTTTGGGGGATCACATGGTCCTTTAGCTAACTGCCACTAAGGGGGGGGGGGGGAAGGGAGGATGAGGAGGTCGTAAAATATTATAGAGCCTTATCAGACTAATCGGAGATCAGGTGAATCTAATCGTGGCCAAACCCAAATTCTCTAACTCAGGCAATAGATTATGACTGGTCTTTTATTCCTTTAAAAAAAAACTGCTCCCTCAAAAATGAAAAATTAAAATTTTCCACAGTATGCCTAATGATGCACGCTTCCATTGCAAACCTTGTATACAAAGTAATATTCCACACAGAGAGTCGTGGTATTCGCTTGGTATTTGATTCTTGCCACGGAAACTCGTTAAAACTCTAGCATTTAAGGGACTAAACAAATAGAAAGTTTATACGATCATGATGATTCCGATGAAACCGGACTCCGCGCTGATATTTTGACCAAATTCAAACTAAGTCTTTTCTTTGCTTTTAGAACCATGACGATAATGGTTTCTGGTGTTCGTGTAAGAGCAAGTAACACGTTTTCATCTTGAATAATTCGTTAATCATAATATCACCAATGAGGATATGAGTAAATACTGGCTAAATTTACGTCTGAAATGATAACTCCTATTAGGAAGATAGACTAAAGATACGACTACTTACTTTTATGATCAAGTCCGTATATTTCTTATAGAGTTTCACTAAAATAAATGAAATTCAGAAATTATTCCCTTATGATCAAATTAGTATAGGGATGGCGTACGTCGCAGAGATCGCTCGAATTCATCTACGTATGCAAATTCAAAATTCTCCTTGCCAGGAAGAATTAACCCTTTCACTCTGAAGATTTCATTACAATAATAATTTCTCTTACTCTCTGCTATACAATTCTTAAGATGTTACTTTGCTGAATTTGGTATATTGGATTAACAAATAATAGATATTTTTCTCTATTCTCGTCACTTGTCTGCTTGATGCTGTATTGATGTTGTAAGGCAGAAATCTTGCTGACTCGTGGAAGTTTAAGTTTTTCTTTTTTTAAGTTTTTCAGTAGCCATCCACCTTACCCCTGTAAGAAGTGAATAAAGAGATAATGTGGCTGAGAGCGTTTGGTTTTAATAGAGATGCACACCTTCGATGCAGTTTCCTTCAGCGGAATTCTCAAACACCAAATCAATGATTCTTTTTCTGTCGTTACCAACTTCAGATGGTGCCGAATCCCGTTTGACATGTTTAAGGAGTTCTTCCAGTGTATCTGAAAACGTTGAGAAACATTCAAGAGATGTCTTAACTGCATGGCCTCGTAATGGATAAGGGATTCTAGCGCTATCCGGACAGGTTTACAGAAATGAAATAAGGAAGGAAAGGTGCGTGAAATTCTTGCGTTTTACAAATTTTCAAGACTCGAACACCGCTGATCTTCCCCTTGTCTTGCCTGGAGTCTGGGGCGTATCCAGGGGTGGTTCGGGTGGTTCGGTGGAACCCCCCCTTAAATTTTCCTCAAAGTGCTGGAAATCATGTTTCCTGAGACCTAGTTTTCAAAATCTCACGGGGAAGCATGCCCTCGGACAATTCTCCGAACCCCACTTGACTAAATCCTGGATCCGCCCCAGGGAGTTTCTATGTTTCAAATAATGTTCCAGTCAGGTTGCTTAATTGTCTTTGATGAAAAATCAGGAAGGCAAGCTGAGTAGGCATTGTTTGGTTTACAAACAAAAAATACGTGCTTAAGCTTATTTAGTTCCTAAGGGGCCGATCATTTAACTTTTGAGGGAGTGGGTGATTTTGAAAAAAAATTTCCTGCAAGCGCTTGTTGGAAGAAAAAAATTGCATGCAGTCCAAATGTAACTGAAAAAATGTACCAAACAATCGGGAAAAAATATCCTGCACAGCAGATTGCGAGAAAAAAAAATTTCTTGATGACCAGAAATCATCCACCCCGCCCCCCCTCAAATGTTAAATGGTCGGCCCCAAAACGCAAGAGCAGGAAGTAGTATGATTTAGGTAGCCTAAGTGCGTAGGCATTGTTTGGTTTCGAAACAAATTACATATCTTTACTCTCACTAGAACGCACTGCATTAAATCAGAGAGCTCGCTTCTAAACATCAATTCAACTTGTTGGCAGATGTAGTCTTAATATTGACTAGGAGGGGAGAATTGGATAGTCTATTAAAAACCACAAAACCACAGAAAAATCATCAAAACCGTGAAGACCGATTCATTTTCACAGGCCCAGTTATCAAAATCCTGACAAGTGCAGCATACAGAGGTTTCGCGGCTATTCGAGACCAGTGGAGGTGCATAATGCCCCTCACATCGAAGAGAAACCAGAACCCAATTATTAAAAAGCCCGAACCACATCAGATAGCCATATCCGAAAACCCAATAGCATTTTCTAGGAAAACAGAAAACCAAATGCTACGAAAAAAGGAAAAATACGCAAACCGCAATGAACACCAAATCCGAAGTTTTTGGGCACAAAAACCGAAAAACCGATCTAAAGATAAGCCAAAACCGCAAAACCATAAATCCCAAATCCCCCCTTCACTTGCTAATGATTATAGAACGAACGCAATAAATGGTTAGAACTATTCACGTTTTGTAAAAGAGGAGGCGCTTACTCGAAGAGGTATAGGTAAGAGGTATCCAAAGGCTCTTAGCATTCAAAGTTTTTCGGAACATCGATTCATCTTGTTTTGTTGTGAAAAATAAACTATGGATAGGACCGACAGGATACAGATAGATTGCTAAATTAACTTACGTTCTTCACAATCTTCAACAATTTTAGGATCAGTATACGGCTCTATTCTGTTTGAAAGATCAAATTCGCCATCTGGATCCTGTTCTTCGATAACCTCACCAATATTTTTAAACAGACCTGAAAGAAAATTGTAAAGAAAAATAACTAATTAGAACAAAATAGGGTTTTTAATAAGTTTAGCCGTCAAAACCTTACGTATTTTATCGCATAGTAGTAAGCCGCCTTTCGCTGCAAAGCAATTTTTTAACACTCCTTGAAATTAGAACTATGCGGCACCGATTTAGAAAAATCCCATAGATTGCATAATACATGATTAGAAGGTGTTGGATGGTCACTCGGATTCCAAGAAAACAACTTACTGTAACACCTGATGGCATTAAAATTTCACGTCTCCTCAGAAACTGAACAGGAGAAAAAACAGTATTTCTTGAACAGTACAAACTAGTAAGCTTTTGTCCTATTCTGCTTAAATGATCAACAGATTAAAACAAGTATCTTCGTTGATCAAATGAGCGGTCTATTTTCAGTCCTTGTGAAATTCTGATTGAGGTTTAAGTGAGTGGAAAGGGAAAATCTTTAACTAGAAGAGTATCTCCTATTTTTTTTCTACTGAGGAATACAAGGCATGCAGCTATTTAACAATTATTCCACGAGCGCGCGTCGGATATGAGATGATAGATGGCCAACAAGGCGCATAGCGCCGAGTTGGCTATAATCATCTCATATCCAACAAGCGCGAGTGGAATAATTGTTTTATTAAAAACGCCCCCAAGATATGAAAACT